CAAACTTTCAAAACGGAAAACGTCATCAGTTCGTATACGGTCAATGTGGTCTAAGCAGGCGAATCTTCCATAACAAAGTCTATAATGTAAATCTATAATTTGTGGAAAAGGAGCTTTGAAGCATTTCATCGTTTAGACACACTGTTGCACTTAAACTGACGTGCTTATTCAATAGGGATTTTTACGAATCTAGCTAAGAGAGCTCGACGAATGTATCAGTTAACATTCTCAATATCTAAGCCTTTTACCGATGGTAAAACTTCAAACAACCTGGAACTAAAAGCAGTGTAATTGTCACGATTTTAAATGTAAACATGTAGTAAGCACCAAAACGACCGTCAAAAAAGCATTCGCTTCTGTAACAAAATAGCGAACTGTAGACTAATTTGCTACACTACTATTACCCTTCTCGCCTTGACTTTCGACTGTTACATTGAAGGACAAAGACCTTACAAAGTGGTAATAGAAAATTAATGCTTTTTGTTTCGTACTGCACAGTTGCATATCAGAATCAGTAAGACTGTGTGCAAAGACATAATGAAAAGCCAATCAACACATGATAAAATAGCCCTTGAACAATGAATAAGAATAACAAAAAAGGGATGTTAAGCTCAATACAGCTTTACTTGCCTATTTCCTTCCACTCACTCCAGCATTTATCTTTCCTATACATACAGCGAGGAAGAAATATGTTATCTTACTGATAAACAAGTTAAGTTTTATCAATACCCTTCCGACACCACTTTCGCGTCATCTATACAAACCAAAAATTTTGAAAACTCTTCTCATAGCCGAATGTAGAGATAGACAGAACCACCATAGAACCTCACATACAAGTGAGTCGGTTCAAGTTGCCACACCATACAGTTGTATACAAACAGTAGATGTACTGAAAAAGAGTGATATCAAAGTAGACAAAGTTGTGTGAGGGATTAAACAATCTGAAGATAATGGTTAATGCAAATATTCAAGCTTTAGAAGATGTCAAGGAGTGAATACATCTGCGCCATTGTGAACGACTTCAAGCCATGTCCCAAAGAGTTTTCAACCACTGATTCTTTTCGTCTTGAGACTTCAAGCGACCTCAGCCGACTTAGGTTCACAGCCTCACTAGACGACTCAACTGTCTTGTCTGGTACCCTTCGCCAAACCCCAAAGCTGTTCACCCAATGATTTCACCAAACGCCAACGGTGCTACGAGGACATGTGTGTAACTGTTTTATATCTTCTACTTATAACGAACACATTTCACAGTCGCACAACAGTACGGAAAGAACCACAGTAAACTGGTCCTTTGACAGAATCGATATCTCTCCAGTCGGCGCCACAGCTGACTCAAGCTGCTAACTGCTAAGCAAACCTTTTGCATCCAAGGTAAGATTTTGTCAGCAAATAGGCTGTTTGCGCTGATGCCTTTACCCAAGTAATTAAAGTAGTCATCACATTCAACCACTTCACTCCCCATCACTAAAGTGAGGGGTGCATACCAGTCGTCGAGCTTCGATTTACGGTTGAGTTGCTTTCGCTCTTCATCGTGGTCACAGCAAAGCAGCTGGAAATTTGTGCTTGCGAGAAACAAGTGATTGTTGGAACGAATTTGCAACAGACGATCATGGTTGTCGGTTGATTGGCGTGGGGAATTCCGTTGACACCTAGATTAGATGCCTTTCCAATTGACTCAACTTCTCTACATGAGCCTTAAAGTCATCTACTATTATTGTGGCTATATCGCAACGATTTGCTTTGTGTAGCAACATTTTCAACTTCTGATAGAATTCGGCCTTTGCATCATCCGAAATACAGTTGGTGGATGCGTGGGGGAAGATTACGAATAAGCGTCGGTCGGTCGGTCGGTCGGTCGGTCTCACGTTCCTTCCTAGTCGTTACAGATCGATTCAGTTGAACAGCACATAGACAGCTGTTGACTGATATTGGGGAGCGAACTTTCTGCTCCACAACTCAATGCTGGGCCTACACCAGCGAGTCCAGGAGAGCAAGCCATTGGGTGTCCGGATACTCGTAAGGTGAATGTTGAAGGTTCACTACTATGGCCAGGTGATGTCAATTTGATAACCACACTCGGGTCCTGTGTACTTGTTTCAGAGATACAGCATACATCCATGACTCGACATTTCAGAGTTCCGGTTTAGCAAAGAGTTCGCGAACGTTAACAGCTCCAACATGAAATCGATAGCAGGTTCTTAAGAGACTAGGAATGAGGTTACGATGGCTTTGATCGTTGGCACTGTTTGCAATGAGAGGTTGGGGAAGGTTTAATGCGTCTAATATTAGTATGAGATGAAGGCAAAAGAGGAGACAGATTTGAGAATATTTAATGTTCGATTGAGTTTTGTGTACCACAAGAATCGTGTGGGCGGTTGACAGTTCACAGCTGACCACACCGTGGAGGGTTAGTTATTCTTGATAATGACGATCCCCTACTAAATATATGCTGAGACCACCTTTTCGTAACCTGCACGAGTTTCAAGGAAAAAAAGACAGTGCACCGACGTTACCTCAACAGTGGACACAAACAGTTAAACTACTTAAATAGTCGATAAATTGTACGGGGTTTTATAAAGCAGCTTCTGCGAAGTCGCAAAACGATAGAAATTTACTTATTTACGTCATTGGGATCTTACAAATATATTTCATTTATAATCCATTTACTCAATGCTCAACTTATTCAACTCCATCAGGTTAAATTATGATTCTGAAGTTAATGAATTCAGGAAAATGTAAAAAAGTTAGTGGGTTTCAGCAGCATCTTCTGAATTAATGGGTGCGTGCGAAATCAATTCTGAAGACTAAATACACAATGAAGAGCGGAAGCAACTTAAATATAGACTTGAAAAAAACGATTTATCAGTTTATTTGGCAGATTTGAATTGTTAAGTTTTCTGGTACGCAAATCTCGACCGATGAGACAATTCACCATTTTTTCACAAGATTATTCTAACGGCTAAAAAACCCGGTTCACTTCACACAGTATATCAAATTACTAGAAACAAACAGTTTCGATTATGTTATCCAATTACAATTTCACTAATAGTGATGGTGCAGAAAAGAAATTGCACTAATTTTGTAATGTGCACACCAACATCAAAATACCATAATGAATCGATTAATAGCAAACATTTTTCGCGTAAGACTTATATAAAGGAAACGAAAAGTAAATGGTCACATCATTGAAAAGTACCCAACAGATAAAATCCAACACTACGATGATGGATATTCAATTTCTACAGATTTGACAAGTTTCACATGAAGATGGATTGTTATATATATATATATATATATATATATATATATATATATATATATATATATATATATATATATAACATTGTCTATTGACTACATACTTTCTGGCAACCAGTAAGCCACTATATACTGGAGATATATCACATGCATGTGCTTCTTTGGTGAGCTCTCAGAAATTACATTCACTGAAAGCCTTAAATGCGGTGGCCTGTCATCATTTCCTCCTCTCTACACTTCATTGACAAAACAGAGAATATAGTAGGGTTTTCAAAATACAGACCAGGAAGCAGTAAAAAATTTAACGTTAATCACACCTCTCTATTTGAACTCATACAGTCATGTAACGGCTTGTGGAGAGCTGTCATCTAAATTGATAACAACTGGTGGTAACTGCTTGACGGACTCCTCCTGCCATAGTTTCAATATAACTTTATTATAGAAGTAATAATGAACATAACCCTAGGTATCTTTGATTCCACAAAGGACTGACGTACTACCTGAAGGACATCTGGTTCACTTGAAGTACACAAAATATATTGTGTTAGGTGAAGACGTTGACGAAATGCAAATTCTGCTGAACGCCTTGATCAGATATCTGAGTCTGCTTGCATGTGTTTTGTACCTGAGGAATTTAAGGTGACGCTTCATGACTGAACTGTACGGACTCCCAGTTTAAGGATAAGGAGTAAAGCGGTGTAGTGTGTGGACCATTTTATTCACTTGGGAAGTCGTATCAACATTAGTTGGTTGGTCACTGAAGAAATTTCAGTTTGGATAAACAAAACCCCATTCGGAAATTGCCGAGGTATATCATCTCTGGCGCCAGCGAAATATCCGACCACCTATCAACAGAAGAGTATTCTGTGCCGTAGTTCCTTCTGTTCTGCTATGCGGCTGAGACACGCCGTTGAAACAGACTGTTGAAAGAGGATATAGGTTTTCAAACACAGATTTCTTCACTTCATTGGTCACTTTGGTGGAATCTGTGTGTAGGCAATGTGGAGGATACCAGGGAAAAAAAGTAATTCAGTTGGTGAAGTTATGATCTTTTACCGACTGAGGTGGCTTGTATATGTGTTTCGCATGCCAGGCCGCTGTCTAAATCGATGAGCAATATTAGTCAAAGTAGGCCCTGAGATGAAAAAAGGTTCCTTTCCATTAATTCTGTAACTATTGGTTTGATTCGTGTAGAGAGGCATAGACTGGCCGGTTGGTGTCTTCGAGATAATGGGAGTCAATGGTTGAAAATTCTTGGTGACATGACTGAAATCGGTACAACAGCGTAGATGTATCTTGTATATTTGGAAATTTTCGCTCAGCTTCATTTTCCGAATTTCTCCTCCCATATACGTTTGTCTACTTTAAAATCACTATTATCCTATCCACCTGTTGTTTCTATGTTGTTGTGAAGTTTGGCAACTTGGAACGATGCACTACTGTGCGAGGTTATACGTCGATTTCGCCTGTCTGGCAAACAACTGGTTGGACTGAAACAACTAAGTAATCGTAATGACAAAATTCGGAAGTGGTGTGCAGAGAGGCAAATTCTTTTCGAGTGTCATGAACGTGGATTAATTAAACTAGACATGATATCGACAGCTTGGATAATGTAGGTATATGTATACACCACTGTCAAGCTGAAAAAATATACCTAGGATAGTTAAAAACAAGATATTTTTACACCAGTAGTGTTTTAAATTGTCTTACATATTATCAATCAAATGAATTTTACTCACTTGGTGAAGCAATTTTAGGCACAACCGGTAAAGTAGTTTGAGGAGCAGAACGAAGACTCAAAACAGTAGGACGGACAAATGATGTGACTTTGAATTAACGGTAGTTTTACCTGTCTCGCCAGACTGGTATGATTTACTACAACGATTTTTGTTTTGATCCCATAGTTTTCTGGCCAAACGAGCAAGTTCCAATCCGTCTACTTCTTCAACAAGTGGATGTGTTTAAAGCATTCTTATCATCTCGGTGCACGAGTGCTGATGTACGTCCAACATCAGGGTGCATTACATAATGGTTGATTGAAGACTATAATAGAAGAAATACCATTTGAATTAAATCTAAGGATTTGGTAATGAGAAGCCAGAAAAATAACAACAATACTACATCAATGTGTGAAACAATGAACTGGAGGAAGATCAAAAAGTGTGCAATTGGTGATCACTACATAAAAGAAGACATTTGAAGGTGATATGTTAACCCTTAACGCATAAAAAAATCGTGCTCCTAGCTGTAGTAGCCAGTATTTATGTTAATAACACTGGACAGGGAAAAATGTAAGAATAAAACAGTGTGAATTTGAACACAGCAGAACATTACAAATAATGTGTTATGTTGTAAGTGATGAACAAAAACATTCTTTCATACATTTTACGCGACTTGACAAGAAAATTCTTGTTATAGTGGTTGGGCGCCAAACCACCATCATACTCCTGAGCTACAAATGCTTCTAATCATTCCAAAATTGTTATCATCTTATCATCTAAGCTAGTGAGTTTGTAAAGCTGAGTAACGGTGAATACAAGCCAACAGGAAAAAGTAGCTATTGATTTTATTACTAATACCGTTAAGGTCATAAGTACTACATAGTGGTGATGGCACTAAGATTGAATATTATAGACTGAATGTGACCTATATGAAAACTGTGCGATTGCGACCATGTATCTACGAGAATTAAAAGAAAATTTGCAACTTACATGCTACTCCAACCGGAAGCTTCTGCCTTGGCGAAGTGATCGGGTTGCATATCACAATGAACCAATGAGCTACACTGGCTGCAACGCTTGTTCCCTCGAGATCCTACCATACCAAAAACGTCTTTGGATAGTGGTAAGAAGAAAAACAGTGTAAATTATTACACTATGATGGGGTTCCAAAGATGAAGTCGAACTGCGGTTAGCTGGATGGGGTGTGACAGCACAAAGATGCTTCCCTTGCATGACCAGCATTACCATGCTGATGATAACATCCATGTGAGGAGGAGGGGGTTAGAAAAGGTCGGTCCCGGAAACAGCAGACTCCTCCCTCCCTCACGATCGTCCAGTGCCGGCTATGTGGGTCCCCTGTATCCAGAGAACAACAAAATCTCAAAACAATAACCCGCAGAAGTATGAGTGTGATTTAACTGAAGCATATGTCCCATGGGCTCTGCGATTGCACACTTTTTTTCTTTTCCAGGTACCTTAGGAAGAAATGACCTTCAATGGTCTGAGAAGCTAGGAAGTGTCAACAGCCTACACGCTTCCAGCAATAAACAAAATATAAGTAAACATAACCCGACCTCCTCAAATACGTCTCCTCTTTTGCCTTCATCTCCTCATATTGATATTAAGCCCCTTACACAATACTCAACCTCTAATTCCTGGTCTCCTAAGCCACATCCGCCCTCCAAATCGATTTTACATTCCAGCCTTCAACATTCTAACTCTACACCAAATAGGAGAGCAGGCAATGCTCACCGGAACTCTGAAATGTCGAGTCATGGATGTATGCTGTATCTCTGAAACAAGTACACAGGACCCGAGTGTGGTTATCAAATTGACATCACCTGGCCATAGTAGTGAACCTTCAACATTCACCTTACGAGTATCCGGACACCCAATGGCTTGCTCTCCTGGACTCGCTGGTGTAGGCCCAGCATTGAGTTGTGGAGCAGAAAGTTCGCTCCCCAATATCAGTCAACAGCTGTCTATGTGCTGTTCAACTGAATCGATCTGTAACGACTAGGAAGGAACGTGAGACCGACCGACCGACCGACCGACCGACGCTTATTCGTAATCTTCCCCCACGCATCCACCAACTGTATTTCGGATGATGCAAAGGCTGAATTCTATCAGAAGTTGAAAATGTTGCTACACAAAGCAAATCGTTGCGATATAGCCACAATAATAGTAGATGACTTTAAGGCTCATGTAGAGAAGTTGAGTCAATTGGAAAGGCATCTAATCTAGGTGTCAACGGAATTCCCCACGCCAATCAACCGACAACCATGATCGTCTGTTGCAAATTCGTTCCAACAATCACTTGTTTCTCGCAAGCACAAACTTCACGCATAAGATGAGGCACTGACTTACATGGCATCTACCAACATCAATCCAACGATGAACACAGGTAGACCACATCGCTATCAGCCATTGTTGCAAGATTGTCGCCGATTTTGGAGTACCTGTTTGGAATGTGATCACGCGCCAGTGCAAGCATGTGTGTGTCTGAGCCTTACTGGTCTAAGAAAACAGGCACCAGAGGAACCTGTCTACGCTTGATTGGAAGATGGGAACGTGAATTACACATTTAGGAAGGAGACAATTAAACATTCATCTGAACGTGACACCAGTGCTGATCCTGAGGAAATCTGGCGTGGTGTTAAGTGTGCCGCAGAAATAGCGGTTATATGACAGTGTTAAGCTACACCCAAAGGTTAGCGAAAGCCAGTGGATTTCTGCAACGTCATCCATGCGAGGGGACCGATTTTAAGTTGCTGGCTCTGACCACGATGAAGAGCGAAAGCAACTCACCGTCAACTAAGTCCATCTCCCTTTAAATTTATTCATTTCGACTAGTAACATCCTCACTGATGTCTCACTCTCTCCCTCTCTTGTCATTTGATCTCACACGAATCGATCTCCTCACCGGTAAATCCTTAGTAGACTTGGATTACGTAGACCATACAGTCCTACCACCTGTAGACGTTGGCAACATGCAGTCATTTGTACTCGTTGAACGACAGTCTGAGAATGTTTAGGATGTGTTACTCTCCTCACCCACAAGTGATGTGTTGACTTACGACTGGTGTGTGTTGATGTCTCATATGACAATATGCAGTCAAATGACGAGTCAGGGTGTTGGGCACTTCAGTCAATTGAGAGGTGTATTCGTCCCTCGTGCATCGATTAACAACCTAATCTCCGCATGAAACATGTAGATCCGACAAACTTTTACTTACTTACACCACTTGTGGAGCCGATGAGACATCTGAGTGCTTGCTAAGCATTGAGTATACTGCACAACAGTTCGCTTTTCCCCACTGTGTAACTGTGAGACACGAAGTCAGATGATCTCATAAGGTTCCAGTTGCTCGATAACCATTGCCTACTTGCGCTGACCACGTGTTTGTGTCGCCAAATGCATCAAGAGTGAGAAGTTAAATGTGAAGATTTTGGTGAGAGACGTGAGTTAGTTGTAACTTTCATAGACAAAGGTCATCATCAATATGAACATAGGACTAGGCATTACTGTCTAACGGTCTGAGTTGCCACACCTCATATCAGCACATCAAGTAAAAAGGTAGTGAGGTGCAAGATGAAGATAAAAAAATTCCGTCAAAAGAAATATAAAGTACGAAAAGAGAGAAACCAAGAATGAGAAAGTGGTGAGATTAGGTATAGTGTTAAGATGAGGATAATGTGTGTAAACATATGCGCCACTAACATCGGTCCTGAGCCATATCACCTAGTCTCCAACCACTGGTTCCTCTTGCCCCGCCAACCCCAACCACCTAGTCTGCATCGCCTCATATGGCTCAAACCAACAGTCAAAGACTTCATACATTAGTGCCATGTTCCAGTCTAGCCATCTCGGGCCTTTTTCTAGCCTGAACCTACTTCGGCCAACATTGTGTGGCGAGGCAATCGGCGACTAGGCACACGTAACACATGTCCGAACCATCTCAGTCGATGAAGGTTCATAACCGTGTCAAATGACTTACCTCTTCTCCCTAAAACTCTACATCTGACTTCTGCGTTACTCACCTGGTGACACCACGGAATACGGCCTATACTACGAAGGCAGTGGTGGTCAAACACCTGAAGCCTTCTCATGTCTTCCACCTTCATTGGTCATGTTTCACAGCCATACAATAGAACAAAGCGGACTGCTGTGCAGTGCGGTGCGCGCCACCCTTAATCGACAATCGCATATCACAGCGGTGCCATAGGTGGCGTAAGTTAGCAAAAGCCAATCGAGCTTTTTGTAACGGTGCAGAAATTTCATCGGCCACTGACCCACCAGGGCTGATCCTACTTCCCAGGTAAGTGAAGTAGTCAACACACTTCACTCTCTATTGTTAGCCATGGTACCGCTGAAGACCAAGTCTGAAGCAACAAATTGCATTCGGGTGGTGAGAAACGCATCCCAAACATTCTCAAATTGACACTCAAAGTGTTCAGAAGAATCTGAATCTTATCAGCGTCTTCACCTAACACAACTATGTCATCTGCATATTCCAGGTCTAAGAAAAACTCCTGCGATTAGGTCAACGTCTGTGTAGTCAGGTGACGAGAAGGAGACCTCCATGAGAATATCTGATAAAATTGGATAAGAATGGAGAGAGTCGGTACCCTTGACGGACACCAATCGATGAGCATAGCTCCCTGAACATCTCACCATAGGCTCTAACACACCCACAAGTGTTCGAGTAGAGAGCCTTCAATAAGGTGATGTACTTACTCGGCACGTCTTTCAGTGACAGACATTGCCATAAAACCTCTCGATCAACGGAGTCAAGAAATACAGCTATTGTCGGGTGTCATTAAGCCTGCCTGTGTTCCAGAACTTGGCGCAGTGTGAATATCTGATCAATGCACACACGGTCTGGTCTGAAGCCTGCCTGATTTTCTCGAGTTCTCTGTTCCCAAACCCACTTGGAAATCTAATGATAAGAAAACCAAGAATCTCAGACACTTTGTCAGGCTGGTTATCACATCAAGACTTCTCGCCTTTTCTGAAGACTGGAATAATCAGTGATGGAGACCGGTCAGACGGGATCTTATTTGGTTCCTACATACTGGTTAACACTTCCGTTAACCTGACTTGGAATACTCTACCACCATCCTTGTATACCTCTGGAGTTAGTTCTTCTGGTCCTGCTCCCCTTCTTCGTTTCAGGTTACCTACTGCCTTCCCGACTTCTACTAGTGTTGGGGGGCCCATCTCAAAGTCCCATTCAGGATCTGACTGGATAGCAGGCATTTCAATGGTGGCTGGACACCAGTCAAACTGTTCTTCGAAATGTTCTGCCCATCGTCCCAGTC